TATTGACAAAATGAACCCGAGCCAGCAGGAAGTATCGGCAATCTTTTTGTTTCATCTTGAATTCCATGTAGAGCAAATTGCTTTCTTTGTTTGCTTTTGTTAATCCTCACCCATAGATATTTTTCAATTGAATTTAGATAGAAAGGGAGGGAGGGAGGGAGGGAGAGAGGGAAACATCAATGTGAGAGCAGTACACTGATTGGCTGCCTCCCGCGTGTGCCTAGCCGGGGATGGATCCTGCAACCCAGGTGCATGCCCTTGACTGGGAACCGAACCCAAGGCCCTTCAGTGCCTAGGCCGATGCTCTAACCACTGAAACACACTGGCCAGGGGGCAGCTGATCCATGATTCTCTCTCATCGTTGATGTTTCTCTCTCTCTCTCTCTTCCTTCTTCTCTGAAATCAATACAAATAGATTTTAAAAAAGGAGAGAGAGGGTTAAATATTCTGTCCACACGTGGAACACACATGAAGGTCGAAGTTTCAAATGCTCTACCTGAAGGCGTAGGGCGGCGAGGAGCGTGGCTGGCGCTGGCTCTTTAAGGCACGGAGTTTGTCTCCCTGGGTTATGCTGTTCTTCATTTCCACATCCTCATCCTCTTCTAAGTTGTTCTGGGGGAAAGTGCAGGTTCCACAGAAAGGTCACGGTGAACGGTTGGCTGTCTGAGTATTTCTTACTAGATGGCAGGCTACTGTGTGTAGGTGTATTTCATACGGATTATCTTCACCGCTTTAATGCACTATGAACTCAGCACTGCTCACATGTACGTTACAGAATGTGAAGTACAGCATAGGGGATGCAGTCAGTCACAGAGGATGCAGGGTAGAATTGCATACCCCACACCTCTGCAATTTTATTAACCGAAGTCACCCCACCTAATAGCCTCCCTGCGCCCTGTGCGTGGTCACCCCGTCTTGCTGTGGGGGAGGGGGGCTCCACGCTCAAGATTCTGGTCCTCTCAGCCTCAGAGAAGAAACAAGTTCCGCCCTGTGAGTCCACGTGCAGGACGGGAGTCCTGGGGGGACACCGACACCTCCCTGGGGGGTGGGCTCACCTCTCCAAATCGCTCCACGTTCTGTATTTTGGATAAGTTTCCACCTATAGACATGTCATCCAAGTTCGAAAGAATTTTATTAATACTTTCTTCGCTGGACGGTCTATTTTTCAATTTGGATCGAAAAAGGTCTCCTTGGACCCATAACGATGCTTGTTTTCTGTAGAAAGGAGAGAAAAGCAAAATGCCCTTTACAACAAATACTGTCATCTCAGGAATATGATGTCTTGTCAACAAAAGGACGAGCAGATAAACATTTACAAAGCAGAGCAGAGCGATTACGGAGTCTTAGGATAAGGAAAATAAGGTCCCTTTCTGAAGCCGCAGCAAGTTAAATTCTATATAAAACACAAATGACCATCCTCTGCTACAGGTCCCGATCGCCACACAGGGGCTGACTGCCAAGGTTCTCAGATGCTCAGAACAAATTCCATCACAGAAGACTGGGAACCCCTTTGTTGTTTTTAAAAATGTGTATTTTGTTGATTTCAGAGAGGAAGGGAGAGGGAGAGAGGGAGAAACATCCATAATGAGAGAGAACCATGGATTGGCTGCCTCCTGCGTACCCCCTACTGGGGATTGAGCCACAACCTGGGCATGTGCCCTGACCGGAAATCGAACCTTGACCTCCTAGTTCAAAGGTCGACACTCAACCACTGAAGCCACCACGGCCGGACTAAAATCTGCTTTTTGAATCCCCCCAAAGAAAGGCAGGTCCATTGCCTTGTCTCTGGCTTTGAATTGCGAGCACGCGGTTCACTGTTCGGCTGCTTCTCTTTGGAGCTGACCTCCCTCCCTCCGCACTTCCTGAGCCCAATGTGTCCTGACCCACAGCATCCCCTCGACCTTCATCACCCTCCAGTCCGGACACCTCCCAGTGCCACCCTCCCTTCCCCGTGTCCACCCAAAGCCACAGTGGTCATGTTGCCTGGAAACCCACTTTGTGCCCCACCCAGGCCTGCTGTGCTTCAACCTGCGGCCAGGCCGCCCCGCACAGCGCCCAGCACCACCCCAGGGCGGCCGTGGGTCCAGGGAGTGCTCCTGGATTCAAGAATCGGACAAATGAGACCCTCTCACTTGGCATCAGAGGAAGATGTCAGAGAGCGGTACCCACGACTGGGGAGACGGAAGGAGGCGCTAAGCAAGGAGAACTGCTCCTACTTTGTACTGATGGATGTTCCATCGGAAGGTTTAGAAAG